ATGTGTGGAGTCCATGACGGCGGTCACAAATTTGTCGAACCGGCTGCAGAGTAGGACAAAAAGAAAAAGAAAAAGAAAATGTAACCAATGAGAGAGAGAGGGGGTCAAAGGGGGTGGGGGGAAAAGGGGGGATGAATCATTGTTGTTTGTACAAAGTATTAGGGACATGATGTCCAACAAGATTAAATAATGTAATTTAAATGTATCTGAACAAAATTAATATACTTGCTTTAATGCTACGCTCGGATTTTTACTTATAAAAAAAATGCTATGTTTGGATCTTGGAATTACTAAGGGAAAGAAAGATGATAGGAAAATGAAATATTTTGTGCAGATTCATTATTTTATAGGTAACTAAACAAAAACAAAACTAATTTTTTTATGACAAATGTCTTCTTGTGTTTTCCTCTTATTTTGTAACCCAACAAAAGAGGAGCTTATTCCACTTCTTTTTTTTTTTTTGATTGGCACAGGGTGTCCACATCAAAGTCCAACTAATCCCCACACTTCATTATAAACTTATCTATTACTTTTCCTTTTCCTTCTCCATTCCCTCCACAATTTCAAGATCCAAACATAGAGTAGGAGAAATGTCAAAGGGATTTGGAAATGAGGTGCAGAAAGAAAGGACTCCATTGCTATTGTTATGATAAATTTCAATGGAAAAGGGATGTCATATGAACTACACAAATAAGAATTGACTCAACAATGTGGAAATGTTGTCCAAAAATGAACCGACTAAAGATAAACTAGATGCCATGTTACAAAGGAGGAAAGAATAACTGAATTTGACTCCTATCTACATTATGAAAGCATCATCATGTGTACACGCTGCAGCTACCATAAACTATGGATACAACCTTCACCTAATCACATTCTGGTCAAGCTTTTACCTACCCGAATCCAATCCCCTAATTTTGCTATCCCTGTTATTTTCATTGTCTGAAATAGTTTGAAATGGAAAATATATGAATTATTTCAAATAATTTTTGTAAAAATTAATGTATAGAGAAAGAGAGAAAATAAATTATGTATATATATTATTGATTGATATGTTGTTACAAGATTGATAAATTACAATTCCTATACAATCTATATATAGAAGAAAATGTGGTAGTAGGTGTAGTGGAGGTGATAGTGGGTTAGGTGAAGTGGAGTGTGTGGTGAAGTGGAGGTAGGTGAAGTGGAGTGTGTAGTGGAGTAGGTGAAGGTAAAGATGGGAAATTCTAACAGTATGTTTTTTTTTACTGCCAGCTGTATGTGCTATGACTTGGTGTACCTTTAGGTGGTAGGATCTGAAACAGGGTGTTTTTATATCCTTTCACAGTGAAAAAGCTGTTGAATTTGCCAAAGAGATGTCACTTTAAGGGTCCAAGACACAATATAGGAGAAATAAAATCTTAAATCCAATTACTTACAACTACAACCTCATTGAAATAACAATCCCAGATCTTTTTAGTTGCTTTAGAACTATCATTTTAGTTGCTTTAGAACTATCATTATATTCTAGGTACCCTACCGAGTCATTGATGAGCCATCGATGAGCCATCTAAAATTATTTGGTTTCAGACTCTGGAAACTTAGCCTATTTTGCTGACTGTGTTGCTTGCTCACTGGGTAACAACGTAGAATGCTATAATACATTGGTACCTGTCATTAGTGCTGAGTCTTCTTGGGGTTCAACATGTCCGATTGTATGTAAATTAGAAGATATCAGATTGTATTTATGGTTCCCAAACTTGCAATGTGGTAGGAAGACAAGTGCAAATCATGTAATGACAGACAAAGTTGCGTCCCTTTATCACTGAATGTTGTCTAGGTGTGCCAATTACATTTTGTTGATAATACTTGAAACTTTTTGAGCATTTTTTTAAGGAATTTAGTGTCAAGTGTCTAGAAGTTTGATAAGTAGATTCTTATTTCTGGGGAATGCGTACTGGTTGACAATCTATATTCCACTGTCGTGGAGCTGGATCATCTTATCTTGGATTTGATTGCTACTTGATATCTATACTCTTAATTCTAGTTGTTAGATTATGTTTGGTTAATTATGGTTTTTCACTTTGTTCTGAATGAATATATGAATGAGGGTTCACCAATTAAATGCTTTCCGTTTGGCTTGGTATCCAAGTTTACTTTAGAGTATACTATCCATTGTCTAAGATTTAAATCCTCGCTAAATCTGCAGATTTGTTGCCTATAGGCACCTTTAGCAATGAAATATTCCATCACAAATTTGTGACAATGGGTAATGGAGTTTTGTCATTACAAATAATGGACATCAGTGATGGATTTATTTTGTTGCAAAAATAAAAATAAAAATCATAGAGGCAACAAATATGGTTCCTCGCAAAATGGGGCATTCCGAGAATCGAACTCGGGACCTCTCGCACCCAAAGCGAGAATCATACCACTAGACCAAATGCCCAACTATGAATGTCACTTGCATACTATTTTTAATCAATGTGTTTGGTAAGATTGACCAGTTGCAGACTTGCAGTGGAGAATTCCACCAGCGTGTTTGACTTTAGTTTGATACTTTAGATCTGTTTAATTCTAAGTCACACTTCAATTAGTAAATGTAACTCTGATGTTTGTGATTGATTTGTAGCATTATATATACTAGTGAGATTACATATTTGTTCCTGACTTTTCCATCTTGATATTGATATTTCTTCTTATTTATTTCTTAATCAAATTAGGTGGAAGCTTGTCAGAAAAAAATAAAATAAAATAGGATATATATTAATTTACTTTTTCTTCTGTGGTTTTGGGATTGATTTGGATTGCTTTGGTAGGTCAAGAAAGATTTAGATCTCTGAAAACAATGCAAGTTACTGAATTTGTAAGCTTTATTAACTGCAATAATTTTTTGGTTTGATTACTGTGTAAGCACTGGATTTTCAACCTTGATATGATATCTGTATATGCCACCTATTTATTTATTTTTACTAATCATTAATTGTAGAAATCTTTTATCTGATGCAGATGATTTATTTAAATATTTGATTCCCACAGTGGCATAATAGCTCCTGCAACTTCAAATGATAGGTCATTTAGACATGCCTATTATTTTCTTACTGTTTTCATCGTGGTTAATTTGATGTAATATTTGTGCATTTTCTTTGAGATAATATGAACTTGGTGAATGGCCTGCAGAATTCAGTGTGCCTGAATGATCTGTACCAGATTCATTTCTGCAAACAACTTATCTGGGTGACTGAGGTTGGGTAGTCACTTTTTCATGTCATTTGGAGATGTCCTTTCAAGTTTTTTTCTTTGGTTTCACACTCCTACTCTTTTGTCAGCTGCCTAAATGCTTTTCCATGGTCAAGACGTTTAATATGAGTAATGCCCATAGCTCATCATCACCTTTAACCCGAGCTTACAAGTTTGTGATTAAAAGCTTGGCTATGGACCTTCCTCCCTTCTCTGTTCTGTTTTTAGTACTTTGTTTTTCTTATCCACTCTAGTAGTTTGATATGATGCTTGTTCCTAGTTTCCATTCATTTTAGAAGAATACTGCCAGTAAAGAATTAGGACTTAAAAAATTATTACTGCACCACCAATTTCTCATCTTGGTGCTCACAGTTTCTCTAGCTTTTGAATGTCTGGTCCTTGTCTAATAATAAATAAAAAAAAGAAGACTTGGGTTGTGCTATGGATCCAATGATATTGGCAGGCAAAAATTATATATATTTTGAACTCCTTGATTCAATGGGGCATTCCGAGAATCGAACTCGGGACCTCTCGCACCCAAAGCGAGAATCATACCACTAGACCAAATGCCCAGCTGTTGATGGCTATCATCTGCTATTTGTGATCAGTGTGTTTTCTTGACTGCCAGCTGTATTTGCTATGACTTGGATTTAGGTGGTAGGATCTGAAACAGGGTATTTTGATATCCTTTCATTATAAAAAGCTTTTGAATTAGCTAAAGAGATGTCAGTTTAAGGGCCCAAGACATAATATAGGAGAAATCAAATCTTAAATCCAACTACTCAACTACAACCTCATGGAAATAACATTCCCAGATCTTATTAGTTTCTTTAGAACTATCATTACATTCTATGAGCAATACCCGATTGATTTATGAGCTATCTATAATTATTTGGTTTTTGACCGAGGAATCTTGGCCTGTTTTTCTGGCTACATTGCTAGCATGCTCGATAACGTAACAACATTGACTACATTGCCATGTTATCTTGGATTTGGTTGCTACTTGCTGTCTATATTCATAATTCTAGTTGTGTCGAATTAATTTGTGGTTGATTAAGTTTTGTTTTTCATTTAGTTCTGAATTATATGAATGAAAGGGACACCAAATATATTGCTTGCCTTTTGGTTTGATAGCCAAGTTTTCTTTAGAGTATACTATACATTGTCTAAGATTTAAATCCCCGCTAAATCTGCAGATTCATCACCTGTAGGTACCTTTAGCGATTGAAATATTGCATCCCAAATTTGTGGCAATGGGCAATGAAGCTTTATTGTCACAAATAATATACATCATGGAATTTTATTTTATTTTTTTGGGAAAAAAAAAAAAAAAAAATTTTGGTTGCAAAGTGGGGGCATTCCGAGAATCGAACTCGGGACCTCTCGCACCCAAAGCGAGAATCATACCACTAGACCAAATGCCCAACTATGTAGGTCATTTGCTAATTATTTTTAATCAATGTGTTTGATAAGGTTGACCAGTTGCAGTGGAGAATTACAGCCAACATGTTTGACTCAAGTCTGATACTTTTTAGATCTGTTTAATTCTTAGTGACTTTAACTAGGTGATGTAACTTTGATGTTTGTGATTGATTGGTAACATTAGATTTTATTTTACTAGTGAGATTATATATTTGTTCACGATTGTTCCATTTTGGCATTGATATCGGCTTCTTCTGTATGTCTTGATCAAATTAGTTAGAAAATTGAATATGTATTAACTGAGTTTTCCTCCTGTATTGATATTTTACTATTCATTAATGCAGATCTAGTAGAACTGTATTTGTATTTATTAACCTTTTTGACTTTGGATTCTGAGAATGTGGTCCAAGATCTAAAACAATATAAAATAGAGTACTGAAACCCAATGTTGGCGGACCAATTAATGGTTGCTAATTTATTTATGCTGTCATTGAGCCAGCATCATATTTTTCTTCGGCCTAAATTACATTATCGTTTTTTTGACGTTAAAAAAAAATATAGTTAATTTTGTATTTTTGATATAATTATATTAATCTTTCTTTTAGTATGATTAAAGCTATTGAAATTAATGCTAATAGTGAGTAGACATTAAAATAAACAAAAATAAATATGTATTTTAGTAGAAAAAAAGGATGATAACACTTTTTTTAATTCGTATGACTAACGAAGTACTGATAAATAAAAATTCAGATATTATGTAAATTAAAATTTTGAGCGGTATTAGTGTAATTATATTAAAATGTGAAATTAATTGAATCTCAAGGAGGTGAGTGTAATTTATCTTAATTATTATTTGTAAAATGATATATTATTTGATGTTTGAATATGTTGTAATCATATTGTGGATAATAACAGTTTATAAAAATTATGGTTCTAAATTAAATTGAAACGCACCACATTTTCTTAATTTGGTTTGGTTATTTTTTATTATTATTTTTGTTTCATTAGAGAATAAATCAACTTGTTTGGTTATAGTTTTTGGAAAGCAGTTGTGAGAAAATTTTACTTTTTTATTTTTCATATTTAATGTTTTTAATGAATTTTTTAATATTTTAACCAATTTTTTTTTTTAATTTTTAAATACACTTTAACATAAATACACTTAAAAAGTATAATATTTGTGAAAAAAATCTTTAAAAAATACATTAAATATCAGAAAATACAAAAAAAAAAATTTGAAAATTCAGTATATTTTTCATATTTTTTGGTATTTATTAATTTTTTAAAATATTTTTTTGCAAATATTTTATAATATAGATATATCTAAGTAAAGTGTATTTAAAAAAAGAAAAAAATTATTTAAAATTTTAAAAATATTCACTAAAAATAAAAAAAATATGAAAAATAAAAAATTAAATTTCAAAAAATTGAAATTAAACATATTCCTACCGGTTGACTGGAATAGTGGAATTTTTTTTTTTTTTTTTTTTTTTTTTTTTTTTTTTTTTTTTTTTTTTATTTTAAATTTTTTTTTTTTTTTTTTTGTTTCATCATAGAATAAATGTTCTTTTCTTTTCATTTTCGATATCAGAATTTTCTGAAATAATGAAACAAAATTTCGACAAAAGAAAGGGGCATTCCGAGAATCGAACTCGGGACCTCTCGCACCCGAAGCGAGAATCATACCACTAGACCAAATGCCCGTCTGTTCGCTTCTTGCTTCGATTTTATTATTAAATTGATCTTGTGCTTTTGCTGGATTGACCTCTGAGTGCATAGAAAATATATTAAGGGCTGTTTGTTGCAGTCTGTAAATTTGATTACATCTTTATAGAAAAAAAGAAGTTGTATTAAAGTGTTAGATGTAATTTTTGTATATTAGACAAAAATAACTTAAATAAGTTGAGAAAATGTTATTATTAGACTATCTCTAATTTAAACTTGGGAAAATTGACCTAAGGTCCTTCCTCTACTTTTGATAGGAGGAGAGGTTCAACATAATATGTTTTGATGGCTAAGATCCCTCAAGTTTATTTTAGGTTATAAAGTACCTAAATTACCCTTTTTTTATAACATAAATTTGTTTGAATATTATATTGTTGACTTCACGGTGAGATTTTGGAAACTGAATTTGCAGTGGAGATTTCGTCGGAGATTGCAGTGGAGTTGATGAAAAATTTGTTTGAATATTATATTGTTGACTTCACGGTGGAGATTATGGAAACTGACTTCATGGTGGAGATTTCGTTGGAGATTTCAGTGGAGTTGATGAGAAAGATTGCTACGATCGTGTGGATGTTACAGTGTGTTGATCACGTAGGTTTTTCAGTGGAGTTGAATCATGTATGTTTTCGATGGAGATTCCACATGGATTTTGATTTTTGTTTTGAATTTTTGTTTAGAGAGAGGCCAGCTTGATAGATTTGATTTTTATTTTTGGAATTAATTTTTCATTTTAAGTTTTTTGATCAATTTCAAAAAGTGTTGCAGTGTAGTTGATTTTGATATTTAGAGTTCATTTTTCGTATTCTGTTTTTCATTAACATGTTGATCAATAATAAGTTTTGTTCTATATTTTTTCAAACCAGAGAAATTTTTTTAAACCAGAGAATTTACATTCTCTGCACTTTTGTTGGTATAGGCCAGAGAAAATTGTAAGTTTGTTATTATAATCCAACGAAAATCACAGAGAAATTATAAGTTCATATGGACATATTATTAGAAGTTTCTAATGCATATAGAATTTGAGAAAGTTAATGTAAGTTTATAAATTTCTCTGGACTTTTATTTGTAGTTCAGAGAAAATTATAAGTTTGTTACTCACTTTCAGTTTGTAATTTAGAGAAAATTATATGTTTGTAGAAAGTGAATATAAGTTTTTATTTCTCTGAGCAAAAGCTATTTTTTGTGTTTTTTTCTTTCAGTTTAGATAGACAATGCAGTGTTTTTTGTTATCTTGAAGGTGTATATAAGTTTGTGAATTTCTCTGAATTTTTCTATGAGTGCAATATTGCATAATGACGCATAGAAAATTGTTAACTTGTAGTTCAGTGAAAATCACAGAGAAGTCTATAATTTCATAACAGATATTCTGTGTGATTTTTTTCTATGATTGTGTTTAATAGTTAGCAGTAAATTTCTCTGTGATTCTCTTTGGATTCATTAAGTTTATGTGATTTTGTTTTTGTTATCTTAAAGGTGAATATAAGTTTGTAAATGTCTCTGAACTTTTATTTGAGTACAGAGAAAATTATAAGCTTATTACTATAATCCAGAGAAAATTATAATTTTTAGAAATTTCTCTGGACTTTTATGTTGTTCTTGTGAAGTGTTTTTATGTTGAACAAATTATTTTTCTTGTTTTTTCTTTTAGTTTCGATGGATAGTGCAGTGTTGTTGCTGTGCAAATATGGGAATGATACTATTGTCATTAATGTTTCATGCGAATTGAATTTTGAGGAATTGGTTGGCATTTTGTGTAAAACATGGGAGAATTTGAAATCTAAGACTATGTGTATTTCATATTCTATTGTGGGCCATCCGAATTGTATGGTTCGAAATAATATTGATTTTCTGAATATGTTGAGGGTTGTTTGTGCACGTGGTGTTGATATAGTTGATGTTTCAGTTACTAGGTGTAGTACTTCTGATGAAGAGGATGAAGTGGGGTCTAATTGGGTAGATATTGTGGATGGTGAATGTGATAGGCTGGTGGATATTGAAAGGAATTCACTCTCTAAGTTTTGTTTTCACCAAGAAAATGTGTTATTGTCAGCTGGTTAGCGAAATAATATTACGAGTGTTGGACAAAAGTTTGAAGGTGGTGTGGTTGAGTTCTGTACTTTTTTATGCAAGTATGCTATTGAGGTTGGTTTTCAGTTTACGTATGTTAAAAATGACAAGCTGAGGGTTACGACAGAATGTGCATATAAGGAATCAAGGGGATGTATGTGGCGTGTACATGTTTCAGTTGAAAAAATAAATGGGTTCTTTTACACAAGAACTTTGAACAATGAACATACGTGTGGTGTGGTGGTTCGTACTAGTAAATATGCTAGGATGATTTTCAACTTAGTTTCTAGGCTGATACTTGAAGAGATAAGTGCAAAATTTTTAACTCGTCCAGTGGATGTTGTCAAAGAAATGAAAGACAAGTATGGGGTCTCAATCAGTTGTAACTGTGGTTGGTTGGGGGTTGAAAAAGCAAAATGTAGTACATATGGGGATTCTTGTTTGTCATTTGATCAATTACGGTGGTATTTTGATGAGGCATTGAAGAACAATCTAGGTAGTCGTTTTGAGTTAGATTTTGAAGATAACAAGTGTTTCAAAAGAGTGTTTGTGACTTTTTATGCATGCATTGCTGGTTTCAAATATTGTCGGTCATTACTTTTTCTTGATGGAACATTTTTGAAATGACGATACAAAGGAGTTATGCTTGCTGCGACAGGGAAAGATGGGAATGAAGGTAATTATAAATATGTTAATTTTATCTAAGCATGTGAATTTTCTATACATGTAGGAATTGAGTGAATGTGATTTTTCTCTGACACTTTGAATTTTCTCTGGTTTTGGCTACTGTGTGGATTTTTTCTAGTTATGGCCACTGTGAGAATTTTCTTTGGATTTTGGTCAATGTGTGAATTTTCTCTGGATGTTGTCATTGTGTGAATTTTATCTATAGTTGGTCACTAAGTGAATTTTCTATAGATATTGTCACTAAGTGAATTTTGTTTGGATGTTGCCAATGTGTGAATTTTCTCTGTAGTTGGTCACTAAGTCAATTTTTTCTAGATGTTGCCAATGTGTGAATTTTCTCTAGAGTTGGGCACTAAGTGAATTTTGTTTGGAGGTTGCCATTGTGTGAATTTTCTTTGGATGTTGGTAGTGTCAAGTTTCTCTAATTGTTTATTG